AGACTCTGCTTTAGACAAGAAACAATAGTTTCAAAGAATCTATAAATTGTTTCAAGAGAAGAAGACTGATGCCTTTTTATTGAGTCTGTCTTTTACTGGTGCATATTGTTTCATGAGTCCCCATTGTGCCACTTTAAGTCCTCTTGGATGGAAGATTCATTCCCCTGTTAGTGTAAGAAAGTTCACGTACTGCTAAGTGCTGTGCATAGCGATAGAAGTCTATTAATAATACATATGTGGAGTTTGGCTAGCGAAGCTATCTGCTGAAGGGCAAAGAGCTTTGCACTTCAGAGTAGCTTTCTGTAATCAATAGTCCCACTCTATTCAATAAAAAATTACCAGAGCATAAAATATCTAAAGTGTGATCTGTTCCCTTTATTTTGGTCATCTGTTCAGCAAAAAATGACAAGTTAATTCTGTCCTAATGCATTTACAACTTTAAAAGGATGATAGACATTATCATAAATTAGTCATGCTGCAATACACTGATTTTTAATATACAGACATTGAATTTGAATACCTTACACTAGGGTTTCAATTACAAGAGTGTTTGCAAATCTATATGTGCTTAGTCAAAACATGACCATTAACGAATGCGATCATTCTTTCAATCTGTCATCGTTAAATCACTTAAGATTCTATTCCATGTTGCTTTGCTTTAAACCCAAGTTTTAGAAGGAGAAAAGAATTCCACACTTTGTAAGCAATTCCAAGCCTTGTGAAAGTGATAAAGCATACATTCTAAAGGGCAGAGATTGCTATAAAACTCTGATGGGCCTGCAATCCTGTTGCTATTAGAATCACTTTATGTCACATTAGTAGGACGGAGGTATTTTAAAAATAGTCACTAAATGTGCCCACTTTTCTAATTTTGGCTTTGCTAATTTAGGATGTCTCTACTCATTGCTTCACAACAATGAATCCATTTCTTACTCCTTCTGCCCTCCCTCCTTCCATTTGAAGAATAGTTTGAGTACAGGATTCCTTGAATTAGACGTCACTGTCTGGAAGACAAGCTGGTTATCTCGGCAATTGAATTTGGAGGCCTTGAATTGCTTTTCCTAGTCCAGAATTTGTCTCCTGTATTTCTTAATGGGAATATGTATTTCTACCGTTAGAAATTTTTCTTTGATTTAATCTTGGTTTCTTCTTTAAGCTGCATGCACCTTCTTAGAATGAGAACATTTTAATATTAACTTTTTTTATAGTTTATTTTATTCCAGTATAGGTAAGAGTATTATATTAGTTTCAGGTGCACAATATAGTGATTCAGCAATTCCATACATCACCCGGTGCTCATCATGACCAGTGCATGCCTAACTTTTAATATGTATCATGTGGATACATTTATTGACCATTTCCTAAGAGGAGACCTACATTATGGGGAACATATGAACAGATTGGGCACTGAGTTTCAGGTGTGAGAGAAGGATTTGGAAGGTAGATTCTAGAAAGTAAATGAAGAAAAACTGAATTTCACAGTTACAATACATGATTGCCCTGATATATGGGTTCTTGTCCCCATTCCTGGGCTGTCTCATTTAAGAATTCACTTCCTCAGGCCAAGTCCAAGATTTACTTGTCCTCGTAATGGCTGGGCAGGTAGCTACCTATTGCCAACTGAACTTATTTTCTATATCCTTTGATCAACTTTCTTTGGTTTGCCATTCACTATTTTAATCTATCTGTCATTTCATCAACAAGATGTGCTTCAGAGTCAGATAAATCTGATTTTGAACCTTGCTCTTCCAATTACTTATATGATCTTGGAAGAATTATTTCTTTTTTATTCCAATTATCCCATCTGTAAAGGGGAAAGCATACTTTCCTCATAGGATTGTTGGGAAGATTTAATGAGGTTACATGCCTGAATTTGTCAATGCAGTACCTAGCACGGAGTAGGCGTGCAAAAGCTATTGGTTATTGTCATTACTACTTGAAGGATGTGTCATGATACTCTAGGAGCTCAAATAAATTAACCCTTGGCTATTGTGTTCAGCCAGAACACTTGAAAAAAGCAAATGGATCCTACACATTTGTAGGATGAGCACTGAGTAGTGTCTTTCATTCCATGGCTCTCTTAACCCACTTGAGGCATTTCCATAATGGATTTCAAAGTGCCATGTACCCACAGGAGGTAGGACTCTGGCCTTTGAAATTCCCATATTTCCTTCTTAACCAAAGGACAAAATGAAGGTGTGTTAAAAGGCAGCAGAGTTGGGAGAGAGAAGGTGGAAAATGTCTTTGACAGGACTTCACTGTTGAAGAGACTGTCCCAGGCAGTCAGGCAGCCAACTTGTCTGGGGCTGGAGGACCATTGCTGTCACAGCTTCTAAAGGAGAAAGTGAGTACCATTAGCCAAGAAGACTCCTTTGATTCCTCATTCTGTCAGTCCCTGGAGACACTTTGCCAGGTTGAGGGAGATCGGGATGTTCAGGTTTCATGGTTGCGGGGTGATTTGTTGACTAAACGTAGGTAAAGCTTTTGAAACAAATAAAGAGGTTGAGGAAAGACTGTGGAAGACGGGCAGTTAAAAAAGGAATATAGAAGTCCTTTTCTGGTGAGCATTTTCCCTCTGCTGCTTGCTGGGCTGGTGTTTTCTCTGAGGTGGTAAACAATTGAGGTAGTGATAAATGCCTTATATTTTTTCAGAGAATTTGCCGTTTGCCAGTGAATAGAATTCAGGTGTTGTTGGTTAATGAGCTACCGACAGGGTTTTTGTTACTTTATATAAAACCATAGTCATTAAACTTTTCATTTTTCTCCCTAATGACTTCCAAAATTCTTCCATTACTAATTCTTCTAGGGTCACAATAAATTAATTGAAAAAGCTATTTATACAGCTTGGCCCAGTCCTTTCAAACAAGCAAACAAATTGCTGTGACTTGCTGTAATTCTGAACTCTGTGTTTCTTTTATGCTCTTTGCTGAATTTTGGTTGTTGGAAGTTAGGCCATGGTATTCCTGGATCTCTAACATTAGGACTTGATGAAATCAATGAAATCCTCATACATAAAACGTTACTGTGTGTGTGTGTGTATGTGGTGTTTTCTGTGGAAGCAAGGAGCAAATGTACATGTAGAAGGATATAAGCAGAAAGGGAATTAGCATTTATTGAACATTTGTTACGTGCTGTGTTCAGCATGTGGGTTTATTATACCCATTTTACAGATGAGGAAACAGAACTGGGCCAAGGTCACATGTGCCTAGTAAGTGGCAGAGCATAGGTCCATTGAGCTGAAAATCATGCCTGTTGTCTATACCACACTGTTCCCCTTTTTGCCTACCTTATTTGCTAATTATATCATAGGAGTTTCCTACTCAGTTGCTGTATCTGACCCCCTCCTTAATGGCCAGGGAGCTCTTCTGCTAGGCAACCGGTGGAGGAAGAGGGTCTGAAGTAAGCCCTTGGTAACCATCCCCCCCAACAAACCCTTACCCCATTGCACCTTGCCCTGGAATACAGAGCCACCTGCCCTGAGACTCTGATACATGAGGGATAAGCCTTTTGCTTGGGTGACCACGGAGAACAGGGTGAGAACTTTGAGTGAGGAGAAAAGGCTTCAGAACTTGACCTCTGGAGAAGGCCTGCCTCTGGGAAGAACCAAACTTTTCTCGGTCTCTCACGCCCGGGAATTGGAAACAGATTATTGTCTGTATTGCCTGCCTAAGCAGGACCTACACTCCGAAGTTTTGTCCTGCCTACTGACTAAGCTTCCAGCCTTGGAGAACGACGTGAAAATGAAGTAGGGAAGCTGAGGGCGATCAGTTGTATCACAACAAACCCCACAGGATTGTCCAAATCCTTTTCCTACCATGGGATTTTCATAAGACTTATGATTGTCAGCTCTCAAGCTTTTTAGAGTGATGCCATGCATTGTGAAGGAGTTTGATCACTATTAGGTTTCTTAGAGATTTGCTTTCTTATTTTGATGTCTGTGACTTGATTTCAATTTTACGCTAGTTTCTGAAAGGCCAGGGTTTTTGTGACACACACTTATTTTTATTGCTTTTTTTTTTTTTTCTTTTAAGCAATCGCAAAGCTGAGGAATTTTTCCTCAAATCTGAAATGGGACAGCAGTTATGAGAATGTTCTTAGGTTTTGTTTATTTTTCTAGAAGTTAATGAGACTATGGGTATTTATGTGAATGCTGTAGGGTTCTATTAATGCTGTGGGCTTGAAGAATGTTGTAATAATCCCCAAAAGGAAATTCTGTCTGAAATATTCTCCAGGTATGAGTGCAATGTTGTTATGGTTGTTTTGTTTTCAGCAAGCTGTGTACAAACTCTGTTGTGTTTTCTCTCCTTGTGTATGTGTGTGTGTGTGTCTATTACTATGTATCTTAACCAGGAAGATATATTCCTAAATCAGTTTAAATAACAATATTTCTGCATATATAAAAAAGTAACTCATCAGTTAAATGTAGTGCCACACTGTTAACTCATTTTTAATGTGTATGCCTTCATCCCAATGGGGTCAAATAAATAGAAATACTTTCCTATATCAAGGAGGTTGAAAAGTTGGTCATCTCTATCCATTGAAAACCATGTATCCCCAACTTCGCACATTCACACACTACTATCCTACTAATTTCAAAAGGCTGACTTTCACATAGTCATCCAGAAGTCTGTGAAGTGATACCCCATGACAAGGTCAGCTGCTATGGAATAGGCTCATCTGGTTTCCATCTTCTTCCTCTGATTCTTCACTCTCTTATGGCTTCAGAGCTGAGACACAACCCCTGTTTATCCATTTCTTCACTCCTCTCATCCCATATTGCTACCATGAGAGGCTACTGGGATTTTTTTTCCCTAGGAGATAAAAGGGATTTAGTACCCAAAGCCAATTGACTTTTTTATCCATAGGTGAAGATTTGGCCCTAGAAAAAGAGATTATTAAATACATTTGATGTCATGACTTACATTTTCTTTAGAATCTTATATTTTCCTTACTTCTTCTTCTTCTTTTGAATAAATCAAATTTCTTTTAAATAAATCCAGGTATTCCTGGAGGACCTCTGAATGGAAAGAATGTCAAGTCTCTCTTCTCCTCGAGCAGCAGGACCCCCACTGGCATGTGACGGGACCCGTTTGTGGAGGTGGGATCCAGACCCGGGACGTATACTGTGCCCAGAGCACCCCAGCGTCCACCGCACAGAAGGCCAAGGAAGGTAGGCAGCCAGTTCCAGGGACAGATGATGCTGCTGATTGGAAGGGAAATCAACTCTAACACCATCTCCTCATATTCTCCTTGATATTATGGACCCTCAGCCCTCACAGATTTAATATTTGTTTTGTCGAGAATTTGCAGATCAGTCCTAAGTTTTGCTACTTGCAATAATTGGGAATAGTTAAAAATAAGAGCAATAATAATAACGTCAGCCTCAAAGGATCATTGTGAAAATTAAATGAGAAAATATACCTAAGTGCTGTAGCAAAAATAAATGCTACCAGCTGAGAGGGGCTGGTAGACTGCAGTGAGTCAATTGGTCATGCATTAGTAGCATTCTTTTTTTGTTTTGTTTCGTTTTCTCCCAAGAAGGTTGTTAGTATGAATTTGTGAATGTAGGAATTTAAGACATATCACCTTCAAATGTTGAGGATCTAGTTTTACTGGCAAGTTTCAAGTAACGTGAAAAGGAAGAGAAAGGGGGCAGAGGAGGAGGAGAAACAACTTTTCTCCACATTAGGCTCTCTGATAGGCAGGTACAACCTCAGCAGGAGTCCACTTGTTCCAGAGTTTGAGACAGTGATAACAGATAGGGACTGAAAAACTGGGCCAGATTTATTTATGTCTATTGATTGAAAGCCAGAAGTGAGCAATAATGCTTCTACTCTGGAAGAATGTGTGGCCTGTCCCAGCCACATCAGAGGACATAGCAGTGCCCTCTGCAGAAGTAGTCAAGGTGCGAAAGTTTTCTTGAGTATGTACATAAATCCTCTACTGTAGAATTTGGTTATAAACGCATGATGCAAGCTTTCTTGGCATGGAAGTGCATGCATTTTACCCTATAAAGCTTTTCATACCAGGTACTTTTTTTCTTGAGTTTATGTGACATGGCCTCTCAACATTCCAGAGGCGTCTACAACCATAACCTTGGATAATTCACCCTCTGACTCATAGAGGCTTTACAGATCTTTACAGAATCCTTAGTGTTTGCTTGAACAATTAAAGTTACAGTGTTTCATTCAATTTTCTTCCTTATCTAATGTCACTTTTGAAAAGTGACAGTTTACACACTTTCTATTCCAGGGTAGAACATGACTATGCTTACTTCTCTGACTTCGGAATAACAGGATTTAGATAAAGAACTCTAGATTATTCTTTCAGACCTTGGTAATCGTTTTAGTCTAACTCTCTTTCTTCCTTTTTACTATTGTCTATAGTACTAGGGTTTCCAGGGGTCAGCAACTGCATTAAAGACATAGTATAGCCTACTACGAACTTGGTAGTCATTAACAAAGGCTTTATTTTGCTCTTGTGTGGAACTGAACAGGAAAGATTGTTCAGCTATTACTTTCCATTCTGATAAACACCTAATTTCCTACTGTTAACATTTATAGATATACCGTGACACATCCGACAACATGAGAATTTCTTCTTGGTTCAAGTTAAACATAAGAGAACAATTGAATTGCTATTGTAAGTGACCAGTGAATGTGTTTGCCCGATTAAAGAGACCAGATTTAAATGTTTCTAACCTTTTCTGCTAATGCAGTAATAAAGGCCAAAATTAGGGGCGCCTGGGTGGCTCAGTCGTTAAGCGTCTGCCTTCGGCTCAGGTCATGATCCCAGGGTCCTGGGATCGAGCCCCGCATTGGGCTCCCTGCTCAGCGGGAAGCCTGCTTCTCCCTCTCCCACTCCCTCTGCTTGTGTTCCCTCTCTCGCTGTGTCTCTCTCTGTCAAATAAATAAATAAAATCTTTAAAAAATAAAAATTAAAATAAAAAAAAAAGGCCAAAATTGGTGACAGGTTTTGCATTTCAGCTTTTGTGAACATTGCTTTTTTTTATGTTAGATTGTAGAGAGAGAAGGAATTTTAATAGCATTGATTTTGGAAACTCTTTTCTCAATGACAATTGACTTTCCCACAGGTTAATTTTTCCTTAGACTCTAGGATACTCTCTTCAATCTCTAGAGTCAAATTGCTTAACTTTTCTTCCCTATAAAATCCCACCATCCACTATGAGTTCGCTGCTCTGCATTTCAAGAACCTGATCTTAGAGGAACACGACTCTGAGGAAAACACTACCACCACCACCCATGAATCAAAACCAAAGCCAAAACCAAAATAAAGCACCAAACCAAGACCCATTTCCATAGGTCTCTCCTGCAATAGAATAAAATAGAATCTAAATTCCAGAATGCGGAGGAAAAAAAAAACCCTAAAGGAATGCTAATTCTATCCCAAGTGCCTCCAAGTCTCTTACATAGGCTGGATACTGAGGTAGAATTCTCTGTTAGCAACTTAGACATCCCAGTCCCCATTTAACCTCAATTCATGGTGCTTATAGAAATGGCATAATACCTATGGCATATTTACCTAGTTCTTTTGTTCAGTGTTCAGGTAATGTTTTAAATGCAGCCAAAATAGTGCTGTAACAATCAATATGAGAAGCATTACCTGCAATAGTAGCCAAGCCAATAGAATTGGGAATGAAAATGTAGAAGAGTATTTATGATTTTGTTTACCAGTTATTGTGGAGAGAATTGTGTTTCTCATGTATAATTCAGAAATATCAGCAAGAGTGATGCTTACCTGTAAGTCTAAAAGTTTGGTTTGGTGAGACCATTTTCTTCTTGCTCTTTTCTCAAATGAAATTAAAACTACTCAGCCTGCATTCAAGCATCATTTCTCAGGAGATAAAGCATTGAAATAAAGAACACACCTTCAAAATCTAATAAAGACTGGGACATAGATATTTTCCATTCATGAAAACATGGCCCGGAGACTGAAATATCAACAAATATGGAGTGAAATGACATAGAAATAGAATGTATTTATATGGTGAAGAACCCCCCCCGAAAAAAAATAAACCTAAATAAAAAACTGGGGAAAGGTATTGGTGTGCTTGCAATTAAGAAGAACACTTACTGAATTTTTTTCTTATTTCAGATTCATTATTTGGCATTAAATGGACACAGCTCTTTTAAGGATGGGACACAGTTTAGCTTTGAGTTGTTAAATGCATTAGTTGCTTCCCCCACTCCAGTAAGATTAAGTAGTTCTTAAAAGTCCTACATCTTTATCATGTTGGGCCCAGAGTTGACATTAAGGAAGTACATGGTCAGATAAGGGAATGTGTCCTGGGATGTTAAGTAGTATATGGAGACTTAAAGTATTTTGGGTGTAAGTAGTATATGGAGACTTCGTATGTTTGAGTTGCAGGCTTTAATTTTGACCTGTATAGAACTTTGATAAGCCACGTGAATGTTGTTCCTGTCTTTTGGGTCATTATATTGTTTTTAAATATATTGATTTGGTGAGTAAAAAGTGGATGAAAAATCACAGTCTTTTTTTTTTTTTTAGTAATTCATTAAGTGCCAGCTATGTTTTAGACTGTGTACTAGACACTGATATGATGAAGGTGCCTCTCATTACTTTATAGTTTTTTTTTAAGTTGGAACAGCAATCGAACTAACGGTTATGCTATAGTGTCATAAGTAATGTGATCATTATATATATAATATGGCTAAAATCATTTAATGATGTCTGAGGGTTATCTTCATAAAGGAGGTAATGCTTAAAGAGAGTTTGTAGGATCATTAGGAAAGAATGTTCTCAGTGGGGGCAGAGGGGACATATGTAAAGGAATGGAGACATTTGTGTTCAGTGGTGGCATGTGAATTGCTGTGAGGGGAGCCCAGGGAATAAGGAAGTGACAGTGACACTGGAAATCTAGGCCTTTTGTGCTATCCTGGAGGTGAGACTTCGTTTTTGAGATATGGGTACAGCCTTTCTTTCCCCACTGCAGGTTTTTAAGCAGAGAAGAAATCTCATATTCTTAGTTGTCTATAAGAATGCATAAATGTCAGTATACCAAGAGAATTCTCGGGAACGCTCATGTCCTACTTGCAAACTTATCTGGTTATCCAAGAGTTTTTGAGATATGAAATAAAGTAATTTACATTATGAACAGATGAACAGATTTTTTAAGGGGCAATTGAAAGAGCTATCTATTCCACCATCATTTGAGGGCCTATCTTTAGAAATTGGTTTTAAAGTCAATAAACTCATTTGGGTGTGAGAATAAAGTTTAAGGAAAAAATGCTCTTAGAACTTCCTTTGGTGTTGATTCTTAGAGGAGAAATGGGTTAACAGCATTTTCCTCTCACTTTATGCTAACAGAGACAGAAATAACTGGATGAATAATTAACAGCAGGCTATTTGATGGCAGTTCACATGAGACCAAAAGATAGAAGACAATTGTAATCATTCTACTTTGGAAACATCCTCAATTATTGGATGTTGGGGTTAAGCTGTAGGAGAAAGTCAGTATATGTATAGTTCATATAATACATATTTATATTTCAAATATTCTCTCCAGACATTCTCCCCAAAGTGTGAAAGCTGAGAAAAGTTTAGGAAGAGAATATTAGATATTCAAAGGCAATTAGGTCACCATGAGCCTAAACTGAGATTGGTTTCTACTGGTTCCATTTCATTGCTTATGTATCTAAGTTTAGTGGTTTTTTTTTTTTTTTTTAATCAAGTATAACAAACTAGTTTTAGTGTGATACAGCAAATGTTTGTTGAATTACAGTGCTTAGCAGGAATATTGAAGAGTTCTTACTTTACCACTCATTAAATTATCAGGCTGTTCGTGACATTAAAAATGTCTTATTTAGCTCAAGATATAATTCAGATGATTGAAATGGGAATAGGAGGGAGCTGGCCTGGACAAATGATAGAGGTGGGATATTTGAGGAGAAAGTCTAGCATTAAGTAGAGGCTACTCCTGGGAAAAATAAATGACTTGTGGAAAAATGGATCTTTTAGACAACACGTGAGTGAGTCCTGCTTAATTTGATTTCCTGAAGAGGAAGAACGCATGTCCTTCTTCATGCAATATATTGTTATATATTTTTTCAAAATCAGCACAACAAAACTGATAATTCAGTGCCATGTGCTACTGAAACCAAAGCTTGTGGTATCATGCAGGAGCAAGAT